CTTCAGGCGATCAACAAACTGGAAGAAGTGATGGCTTATCGTCAGCCAAATGAGAGTTCCAAAAAAGGTAAAATAAGCCGTGGAGATATGAGAAGGCGAGAGAAAAGGATTGCTGAATTGGAAAAGGATCTTAAGATGGAACGGCAGAAGTACGAAGACCGTATGATGCAGCTTTCTAAGGAAAACGAACAGCTTAAGGTAGATTACACAATGCTTTAGCCAAAAATTTAACGCTGTTTTACTTTTAAAACTGTTGAATTTCAACGGAGCGATTTTTTATGCTACTGCTTTCATGTAGAGATTTCGCTGTTCTTTAGCTTGCATTAGCGGAAGAGGAGAAATCGAACGAGAAGCTGCGAATGGACATTGAAACATTCCGACATCTCGAGACTGCAATGAATGAACAGAAGAAACGAGAGAGGCAAGAGATACATTCGGATCAGCAGCGTACATCTGCCACCAGTCTCATACCACAGATAAGCGAAGTGAGTCCTTCGAATTCATATATTATCATCTCGTCTTTCTTCATTTCATTGTTCGGACGTATCATATACATTAAAGCTGAAACAGCTCATAGTTGCTGCATTACACTGATGCGACAAGTACCATGATCGCCTAATTAGTTGTTGAGCATCACTGATATTACAGTGATGCTTCCAGACCCGAGGTGCAGCGGTACTAGATTATGACATATATTTTTTTGCCAAGACAGACGCAGCTGTCAACTTCCTCTAAGTCTGTTTGTAGCTTGATCGCCAACGTACAGACGCTGCGCATTATTTTCGTTTTGTATGTGCTTATTTTTAGACTTATTTCTTTGCGTCATTGTTAAAGTTCTACATCACTTTTTTGATCTCATTGCCGTTGTTAACGATGGTTGGAGCATAAATTTGGACAGTTTTGGAGATTTTACTCGAATTTACTTTGAAGACTAGTACATCCATTTATGGCGAATGGAACTGAGAAGAAATTACTCGCGAAAACCATTTCCTGTTGGCGATAAACTCGTCTCCACTAACCCACCGGCTTTTTCTTTTTGCATACCGAGCAAAATCATCATTGTCCATCTTATCTTTGCTCTGTTTCACACGCGTCGAGAGCTTTGCATGATGTTTTGTCAATTTCCTGGTGAAGATAGTTCGTGAGTTCATTCCTCGACGGCGGCCCACAAGTGTACATGCAAATGAAAAAATCAAGGCCGTTCGGTTCGGCACTTTGTGGACATCTGGATTTCATAGCTATCCCATCCCGTTTTGGTCATCGATATACCAAGCTATAGGTCAAGGAGAGTGCTTGGAACATCAGCTTTTTGTTTCAGTCAGTTTCTTCCTCGTACATTTGCACATAGCACAGATTTTTGCTTTTTCTGCATAGCTGTATGACTTTACCGCATTACTTCTTCTTGGGTATACCAACATTGATCTGTATCGAAATTTTAGACAGCCAAAGTGCCGTACAGTACCTCTTCTTGGTACCCTTGAAACTATTAGGATTTTGATCTCGTCATGTCCCGACACTGCCTTGTTCTCTTCCACGTCACATTGCTATGACTTGCCTGAGCCTTTTTTTTCTTTTTTTTTTTTTGAGGGTAATCCTCTTGTGCACCTGTAAAGTGTATTTCAGCAGATGGTGGCACTTACAAGGAGAGTAAAGCAATCATGCATTTTTAGCTCAGCTGTGTCCGTGTAGATCAGATTTACACGTATGCTCCATAAGTAAATTCCATTTTATACAAAGGCATAGCTTAGGATTTGGCATATCTACTGAATTAGAATTACAGCTATTACAGAGCTCAGGACCGTGCTCCTATAATTTTTGGTTTCGGATTTAAATAGTGACAGGCAGAAGCGCTCACACACAAAGTCTGATCGATATGCGCCTTTGAGTCCACAGGAATGTTTGTAAAAATTATTCCAGTTTGCTGATTGCGTCAGATAATTTAATTTTTATTCATATTAGACGGATTTAAGAAAGTTACAAGTAGGGTTGGGCACCAAAGGAAACTCATTAATAATGATGCGCATTTGACGACTGTGCGATCATGTGTTTTTGCTTAAGTTATTTATGGTATCGGAAGATGGATGATTTAGAGTAGGGATATTATAATATAAGAAAATGTATGTATCAAATCATATAAATTATAAATCAAATCATATAAATATAAGTTATATTAAAAAATTCTGATGAACAGGAATGTTTCGGTCCACTAAGTTGTAGTGAGACAGTCAAAACTTCGATTTTTGATCATAGAACATAGCAAGGCCTGAGAATTGATTCATGTCCAGACGAATATTTTAGCCCATGAAGTTGCAAACGTTTCATCCCAGAACCACAACTAGTTCGGTGCAGCGACTGTGATCGTATTTACATATTTTGTAGTTGTGAGGCAAATTCGATAAAAAAATGAAAGTGGGCCAATGGCGGATAAAATATTTAAGAGAATTAACTGAGGAAAAGCAAAACTTAGGGTTGGAGGGGTGCTTTTTTTAGTGCATAAATGCCTAGCCGCTGCAGTGAAATGCTGTTTGTGGTATCGCTTTGTATGAAAAGGATAGTTAGAACAAGCTAAGACTGAAGATACATTGTGTATTTCTTCGAGAGAATGTTCGGTTTTTCTATTGTAAAGTGATGAATTTGTCAGGAAAATGTCTGTTTTTTCACAGAAATAAGTATGCTTGTTTATTTAGAGTGAGCTTTGTTACGATGGTGCAGTTTCAATTCGATTAACCGTGAAGCGACGACATCAGTGGCAAGAATGCTTTGCAATATTCAATCCAACAGGCCTTCTGTTCTATTTGACCCAGAATGAGCGACAGCCGTTTCAAACTATCCAAGCCGAGTAGGTTCTTCCATTCTCAGTGCAGTATCTCAGCCGTAGTTCATGCATTTTAACAGCCATCTGAAAAAATGTGAAAAATTTCAAAGTGAATGGGATTCCTATAAGCTTTAAAGACGAGGGACGAAGAAAGTGAAATGGCTGGCGATAAAAGACCGTAGTGCGAGCGCCTCTTGTATTCAAAGACTGTTTTTGAAGGTCACGAATATATCATTAACTATATTGGTGCTGCGCCTGTGTCGTCTTTTCTTATGTTACTAGTGTTTTTTTTAGTAAACTTTGTCATGCCCGACATGTAAGTGCTGCGGATGTTCGTTTCGCTGGAGAAAATCAGTTGCCACGTATATTTCAGGTTAGTTATTCTGAGTATTTTTGCTGAATATTACTTTTTTCCAGGCAATTTCATCAGTAATTTTTGAGTGTTTTCAATCAGTGGCATAATAATTTACAGCTTACTGAACAAGAACTCTCTGTTGTTATGCCTTCATACTGCTTTGTTGATATGTGTGTTACAGATATTTTATGATACTGAAGAAAGCTCGTCCCGGCGCTCCTCGATGGCTGATCTGTCATCACTTTCCGGCTCTCGTGAGGTTCATTTTTGCGATCTCCATCATTTAATGCACTCTATTAACATGAGTTTAAGGGCCGCTTTCTCTCACTATGCTAATTATCAATCCCTCTTATATCGGTAAGAATTAAGTGTTATATTTAGTGTTTTTAGTGAAATGTCACAATGTTTTTTAAGTCATTAAATGTGCCGATGCAATTCAGAAGTGTGTTTAGGAAAAGTTGGATAAAGGGTTGTGGAATAGACACGATCTTGTTGAAATAACATTCCATATGCCGACGAACTGTGATCTTTGCGTGAAACCACTATCAAATTTTCTTCGACCTCCTCCCGCTTTCGAATGCAGACGTAAGATTC